ATAAAGAATCACACATAAAGTGGGAGTTGTCACAGTTGCTCTTTGCTGATGACACTGTGCTCTTGGGAGATTCTGAAGAGAAGTTGCAGAGATTGGTGGATGAATTTGGTAGGGTGTGCAAAAGAAGAAAATTGAAAGTGAATACAGGAAAGAGTAAGGTTATGAGGATAACAAAAAGATAGGTGATGAAAGTTTGGATATCAGATTGGAGGGAGAGAGTATGGAGGAGGTGAATGTATTCAGATATTTGGGAGTGGACGTGTCAGCGGATGGGTCTATGAAAGATGAGGTGAATCATAGAATTGATGAGGGGAAAAGGGTGAGTGGTGCACTTAGGAGTCTGTGGAGACAAAGAACTTTATCCTTGGAGGCAAAGAGGGGAATGTATGAGAGTATAGTTTTACCAACGCTCTTATATGGGTGTGAAGCATGGGTGATGAATGTTGCAGCGAGGAGAAGGCTGGAGGCAGTGGAGATGTCATGTCTGAGAGCAATGTGTGGTGTGAATATAATGCAGAGAATTCGTAGTTTGGAAGTTAGGAGGAGGTGCGGATTACCAAAACTGTTGTCCAGAGGGCTGAGGAAGGGTTGTTGAGGTGGTTCGGACATGTAGAGAGAATGGAGCGAAACAGAATAACTTCAAGAGTGTATCAGTCTGTAGTGGAAGGAAGGCGGGGTAGGGGTCGGCCTAGGAAAGGTTGGAGGGAGGGGGTAAAGGAGGTTTTGTGTGCGAGGGGCTTGGACTTCCAGCAGGCATGCGTGAGCGTGTTTGATAGGAGTGAATGGAGACAAATGGTTTTTAATACTTGACGTGCTGTTGGAGTGTGAGCAAAGTAACATTTATGAAGGGGTTCAGGGAAACCGGCAGGCCGGACTTGAGTCCTGGAGATGGGAAGTACAGTGCCTGCACTCTGAAGGAGGGGTGTTAATGTTGCAGTTTAAAAACTGTAGTGTAAAACACCCTTCTGGCAAGACAGTGATGGAGTGAATGATGGTGAAAGTTTTTCTTTTTCGGGCCACCCTGCCTTGGTGGGAATCGGCCAGTGTGATAATAAAAATAAGAAAAAAATTACGATTAGCTAATATTGCAAATATAAGCAATATAAAATTATATGAACAGGTAATATACATTATATACATTGTGACCCATTCAGGGATCGCAATAATAACTTAGTACACACAGACAATGTCCTCAGTAATACTATCAAATCTGTTACCAGGGTAATCCAACACTACTGATGAACGTTCCAATCCCCTTCCTAGGTTCCAATATTCTCCCACCGACCCAATATCTGGCGGGTAAATCACCCGCCACGTAAGCGACACTTCTCACAGCCTTCGTAAATGACTAAAATAAAAATTTTAAAAGAATTCGGGGAGTCTCAGTATTGAGAGAGATAAGGAAGGTGTATTGTTGAAGTGTCTGCCTTCAGAAAATTACATTTGGAAAAATATTCTTGAATTCCTAGTAAACAGAGAAAAAAAAAACTTAATATTTCACTATTTTTGCAACTTTCTGGGGAAGGGGGAAGAATTTTAAGGAAATTTCAATTTTCCACGAAAAATTTAGAGATGTATGAGTTCAAAGAAACAGATTACATCGTCTTTAAATCTCTACTGCTTCTGCTACGTCCTGTGTACTCGACTGAAGAAGTCTACTGTGTAGGCGAAACGTTTCATCAATAAAGATACCCAGCTGTTGCACATGTGTCTTAATCTTCAACTTGTTGGTATTTTGCACCATTTCCAACCTAACGGTATTGTATACCATTGCCATATTAACGCCCGTACTGAAAATCGCATTTAGCAGCGAGTCTGACGCCACACTTGCATCCAGGTAGGAGGTTGAATAAGCTATGCTGGAGCATGCTTCTTGCCAGTCTGACTGTACCACTTCTAACATGGTTGACACACAACACACATTACCATAACTCATAAATAACCTGCACTCTGGGTTATTTGTGTATCGATTCTTTAAGATTACGGTGGTCATCACCTGCTCCCAGGCTGAGGGACTGATTACCCCCGTCTTCTGTGTATATCTCTACAGTCTTCAGATTATGTCCAAGTATTGTACTGATGAAACCACTGGATTGCGAAACGTCTACAAAGTAAAAAGATACCCAGATGTTGCACACGTGTTTAATTCTGATATACGATTGTTTGTGCATTATTCCAGCCACGGTATTGTTCCAGCCACGGTAATGTTTCAGCCACGGTATTGTTCTAACCACGGTATTGTTCCAGCCATGGTATTGTTCCAGCCACGGTATTGTCCCAGTCATGGTATGGTTCCAGCAACTGTACTATTCCAGCTACGTTATTGTTCTAGCCACGGTACTGTTCCACCCATGGTATTGTTCCAACCACTGTATTGTTCCAGCCACGGTATTGTTCCAACCACTGTATTGTTACAGCCACGGTATTGTTCCAACCACGGTATTGTTCCAGCCACGGTATTGAGATCATTTCGTTTATTACCAGAGCACCTGAGTCAGCTGGATCAGTAACGTGAGGGTTGACACACTGCACATTGTAACACCTGAGTGGTTGACACATTATCATAACACCTGAGTGCTTGACAAATTACCATAACACCTGACCCAGCAGCACAATGTTTACAACTGCTTCTTTTTTTCCATGGTTCCAAGAAGTGACATCTGTAGTGACGACCAACAGAATGCATGGATGTTGGCAGAGTTACCAACACTCCTAACAAAGTTATAATCCTTCCCAACAGCCAGGTTGCTTTGAACGTTTCTAAAGTACTAGCGCAAGCTAACACTAGAGTCGCCATCGCAACCCGCACTTCCATAAGAGATTTAACCAGGACAAAATCGAGGCACCATGAACCAGTCAATGCAGAGGTGTATACTATACCCTGTGGAGGCTGCGACAGAATGTATGTAGGTGAAACAGCAAGAAACGTTGGAACACGTTTCAGTGAACACATTAATGCAAGTAGGAACGATAACTTGAACAACACCTGCGTACAACACCGGAATTTCGCTAATCACCTCATGAAATTCAACGACGCCCAACTAGCGATCAAAGAACCCAATTCCTGTAGACGAAAATGCCTTGAATCATATTAATCGCTTTTTCTAACGCAACTAAGCAAAACAAAGGCAGTTTCATCATCTCTGAAGTATTAGCAAGAATCCTCCTTAAAATAATAACCCCTGCCATCATATAGTTGCAGCTGCTGATAACACATAAGAAAATAACAGAGGAGAAACACTGAGACAGACCTCAAAGCCAACCCACTAACAGAAATATTTTCCCAACCTATTTTAATGCTACCCAAGCAAGTCGACTATTACTACAATATGTACTACTACTACTATTACCATTAGTATTACAACTAATGCTACTTCTACAACGATTATATTGCGCCTTACACCTCACTATAAACATATATATATATATATATATATATATATATATATATATATATATATATATATATATATATATATATATATATATATCCTTGTGTCCATGTATTGTAACTGCTTGATAAAGCTCCTAGAGAGCGAAACGTTGCCACAATAAATTGTCACATTAATTGCACTTGTGTCCTTTTACCTGACCCAACAGAAGCTGTAGGCTGACTATCAGTCGTGTTAGAGGCTACCTGTGTGCATAACTAGTGCTAATTGTACTATTTATGTCCAGTAATTATGGCATCCGAAGTCTGCCTGCCGTGCCCAGACAGGTGCCCAGACAGGTGCCCAGACAGGTGCCCAGACAGGTGCCCAGACAGGTGTGTGGTTCATAACACCATCACACAGGAGAACAATATAACAATAATGAATAAATTTATAGAACTTTGACATACCTTTGGTTGGTACCAAGAGTTTACCCCTTCTTCAGCAGCCAGGCTTGTCTGGTGCTTGCCTGGTCAACCAGGCTTGTCTGGTTCTTGCCTGGTCAACCAGGCTTGTCTGGTGCTTGCCTGGTCAACCAGGCTTGTCTGGTGCTTGCCTGGTCAACCAGGCTTGTCTGGTGCTTGCCTGGTCAACCAGGCTTGCCTGGTGCTTGCCTGGTCAACCAGGCTTGTCTGGTGCTTGCCTGGTTAACCAGGCTTGTCTGGTGCTTGCCTGGTTAACCAGGCTTGTCTGGTGCTTGCCTGGTCAACCAGGCTTGTCTGGTGCTTGCCTGGTCAATCAGGCTTGTCTGGTTCTTGCCTGGTTAACCAGACTTGTCTGGTTCTTGCCTGGTTAACCAGACTTGTCTGGTTCTTGTCTGGTTAACCAGGCTTGTCTGGTGCTTGCCTGGTCAACCAGGCTTGTCTGGTGCTTGCCTGGTCAATCAGGCTTGTCTGGTTCTTGCCTGGTTAACCAGACTTGTCTGGTTCTTGCCTGGTTAACCAGACTTGTCTGGTTCTTGTCTGGTCAACCAGGCTTGTCTGGTTCTTGCCTGGTCAACCAGGCTTGTCTGGTTCTTGCCTGGTCAACCAGGCTTGTCTGGTTCTTGCCTGGTCAACCAGGCTTGTCTGGTTCTTGCCTGGTCAACCAGGCTTGTCTGGTTCTTGCCTGGTCAACCAGGCTTGTCTGGTGCTTGCCTGGTCAACCAGGCTTGTCTGGTGCTTGCCTGGTTAACCAGGCTTGTCTGGTGCTTGCCTGGTTAACCAGGCTTGTCTGGTGCTTGCCTGGTCAACCAGGTTTGTCTGGTGCTTGCCTGGTCAATCAGGCTGTTGCTGTTTTTTCGGATATTATTGCTATTGTGTGAGTAAAGGGAAATTATCTTCTTCAGTGGTGCAATTAGCTCTATGGCTGGTGTGCTGGACAGAGAAACCTATAGCGCCATGTTTACTAACACGCGAGTGACTGTAGGGGTGGAGAGGGGTACTTATTGATCCATATGGTCGGTGGTGCAACGAGTCCTATCTCGCGATCAAAGTACCTACCTGACGGACCAACTAATCTTGTTTCTTAGGAACAGAGTACCAACCGTGTGAACAAGCTAATCTTCCACCTTAGGAACTGGGTACCTACCTTGTGAACAAACTCCTCGACGAAGTAGATCAGGAAGAACCCTGCACAGGTGACAAGTTCTGCCAGTGGGTAGTCAGCTCCGGCAGTCAGCACCTTCCTCTGGAAGGCGCTCTTGAAGCTCTCCCTGGTCTCCGGTAGCATGTGAATGAAGACTGTGGCCAGAAGAACTCCCCCACCGAAGCACAGGAAGCCACTGACGATCCTCTCTCTCCTCCTGCTGCCCTGCGCCAGGAAGTCTCTCATGCGGAGGGGCAGCAAGCCGAAGAAGAGAGAGAGAGCCCCCATCAGGGTTAGAGCCACGATTTTGGTTGTGAGAAGTTCCATGGTTGCTAGATCGTGGTGGCTGGGTAGGGGAAGGTGAGGGCAGCTGGTAGTGATGGCACACACTCTCAGCTGCGACACACTCTCAGCTGCGACACACTCTCAGCTGCGACACACTCTCAGCTGCGACACACTCTCAGCTGCGACACACTCTCAGCTTAATCAACACACAAGCTGTAAACAAAAAACCCATTTCAACAAAACTCATGTACAATCAAGTAACATAAAATCCTTAGCTAGCGCACTCAGCACACACACTGAGGTCCGGGGATCGATCCTCAGTACGGTTGGAAACATTAGGACGTGTTTCCTTAAGACACCTGTTTTCCCTATTCACCCATCAGCAAAATAGGAACCTGGGTGTTAGCGGACTGGTGTGGGTCGTATCCTGGGTACAAAACTGACCTAATTTGCCCGAAATGCTCTGCATAATAAGGGGCTTTCTGTATAGTAGTGTCATTGACGTCAGGTAGGCCTGTATACCTTGTATATGAACTTATAGAAATTAAATATTATTATTATTATTATTATTATTATTATTATTATTATTATTATTATTATTATTATTATTATTATTATTATTATATAACAAAACCTTCCTTAACTCCAAGAAATCGGAGTATCATTCCCCTTCTCCATATCAAAACTCCCCTCCCCCTCCCGCTCATCTTCACCCTCTGTCCATATTCCCCAAGTGTTGTACGACGCTTCTGGATTTAACAATATGCGGAACAAAATAGTAAGAGCAAAACGCTCCCAGCGTCACTCAACAAAATCCTGACTGTCAATAACAGAGTCGACAGTAATCAATGGAATCACTTGACTTTTCCCTAGTATAATTGCTCTCCAGTAATTATGATAATGGAGTATAAATGTTTTCCCAAGAGCTCGTTGCATCGGAGCTCATAATGTAACCTTAACGTGCACTTAAGAGTGTACAATATAAACTTAACGTGCATTTAAGTGTGCACAATTTACCCGCAATTCATATAAGTGTTGTTAGTTGCTAAAAGGAGCTGAGGAGGGGTTGTTGAGGCGGGTTAAACACTTAGAGAGGATGGAGCAAAATAGGATGACTTGGAGGTCGTACAAAGCTGTAGTGGAGGGAAGGCGGGGTAGGGGTCGTCCTAGGCAAGGTTGGAGGGAGGGAGTAAAGGATGTTTTGTGTGCAAGGAGCTAGGATATCCAATTGTCGTGTGTGAATGTGTTATATAGGAGTGGTGACACACACACACACACACACACACACACACACACACACACACACACACACACACACACACACACGCACAAACCTTCTGGAGTTTTATGACAAGGTAACAGAAGTAAGACACGAGAGAGAGGGGTGGGTTGATTTCATTTTCCTAGACTGCAGGAAGGCCTTTGACACAGTTCCCCACAAGAGATTAGTGCAGAAGCTGGAGGATCAGGCGCGTATAACAGGAAAGGCACTGCAATGGATCAGGGAATACCTGACAGGGAGGCAACAACGAGTCATGGTACGTGAAGAGGTATCACAGTGGGCGCCTGTGACGAGCGGGGTCCCACAGGGGTCAGTTCTAGGACCAGTGCTATTTCTGATATATGCAGACGACATGATGGAAGGAATAGACTCTGAAGTGTTCCTATTCGCAGATGATGTGAAGCCGGTGAGAAGAATTAAATCGGATGAGGATGAGGCAGGACTGCAAAGAGACCTGGACAGGCTGGACATGTGGTCCAGAAACTGGCTTCTCGAATTCAACCCTGCCAAATGCAAAGTCATGAAGATTGGGGAGGGGCAAAGAAAACCGCAGACAGAGTATAGGCTAGGTGGACAAAGACTACAGACCTCACTCAGGGAGAAAGACCTTGGGGTGACCATAACACCGAGCACATCACCGGAGGCACAAATCAACCAATTAACTGCTGCAGCATACGGGCGCCTGGAAAACCTGAGAATAGCGTTCCGATACCTTAATAAGGAATCGTTCAAGACACTGTACACTGTGTATGTTAGGCCCATACTGGAGTATGCAACACCAGTCTGGAACCCACACCTGGTCAAGCACGTCAAGAAGGTAGAGAAAGTACAAAGGTTTGCAACAAGGCTAGTCCCAGAGCTCAGGGGAATGTCGTACGAGGAAAGGTTGAGGGAAATCGGACTGACGACACTGGAGGACAGAAGGGTCAGGGGAGACATGATAACGACATACAAGATACTGCGGGGAATAGACAAGGTGGGCAGAGATAGGATGTTCCAGAGAGGGGACACAGGGACAAGGGGTCACAACTGGAAGCTGAAGACTCAGACGAGTCACAGGGACGTTAGGAAGTATTTCTTCAGTCATAGAGTCGTCAGGAAGTGGAATAGCCTAGCAAGTGAAGTAGTGGAGGCAGGAACCATAGATAGTTTTAAGAAGAGGTATGACAAAGTTCAGGAAGCAGAGAGGGAGAGGACCTAGTAGCGATCAGTGAAGAGGCGGGGCCAGGAGCTGAGTCTCGACCCCTGCAACCACAATTAGGTGAGTACAGATAAAATAACGACATATACACCACGCTGTGTGCCCACACAGCCATCCATCCCACATACATAGTGTAACTCATACATATCACGGACATACATCACGGACATTCTTCACGGACGTACATCACGGATGGACATCACGGACATACATCACGGACATATGGGAACGAATAGTGACGACTCCCACAACCTTGAGAAATTAACCATTTTTAACCCCCCCTCCCTCTCTCACCCCCTCCCTCCCTCACCCCCGTCCCTCAACCCCCCTGGACATTTATGTATATAATTGTTGTTCGTTACCACTCAGCTGGTCATGTTTACATGGTCTACACTTCATGTCTACATGATCTACACTTCATATCCACATGGTCTATACTTAGCTACATGGTCTACACTTCATCATGTCTCCATGGTCTACGCTTCATCATGTCTCCATGGTCTACACTTTATCATGTCTCCATGATCTACACTTCATCATGTCTCCATGGTCTACACTTCATCATGTCTCCATGCTCTACACTTCATCATGTCTCCATGGTCTATACTTCATCATGTCTCCATGGTCTACACTTCATCATGTCTCCATGGTCTATATTTTCATCATGTCTCCATGGTCTACACTTCATCATGTCTCCATGGTCTATACTTCATCATGTCTCCATGGTCTACACTTCATCATGTCTCCATGGTCTATACTTCATCATGTCTCCATGGTCTACACTTCATCATGTCTCCATGGTCTATACTTCATCATGTCTCCATGGTCTACGCTTCATCATGTCTCCATGGTCTACACTTCATCATGTCTCCATGGTCTACGCTTCATCATGTCTCCATGGTCTACACTTCATCATGTCTCCATGGTCTACGCTTCATCATGTCTCCATGGTCTACACTTCATCATGTCTCCATGGTCTACACTTCATCATGTCTCCATGGTCTACACTTCATCATGTCTCCATGGTCTACACTTCATCATGTCTACATGATCTACACTTCATCATGTCTCCATGGTCTACGCTTCATCATGTCTCCATGGTCTACACTTTATCATGTCTCCATGATCTACACTTCATCATGTCTCCATGGTCTACACTTCATCATGTCTCCATGCTCTACACTTCATCATGTCTCCATGGTCTATACTTCATCATGTCTCCATGGTCTACACTTCATCATGTCTCCATGGTCTACACTTCATCATGTCTCCATGGTCTACACTTCATCATGTCTCCATGGTCTATACTTCATCATGTCTCCATGGTCTACACTTCATCATGTCTCCATGGTCTATACTTCATCATGTCTCCATGGTCTACACTTCATCATGTCTCCATGGTCATACTTCATCATGTCTCCATGGCTACACTTCATCATGTCTCCATGGTCTATACTTCATCATGTCTCCATGGTCTACACTTCATCATGTCTCCATGGTCTATACTTCATCATGTCTCCATGGTCTACGCTTCATCATGTCTCCATGGTCTACACTTCATCATGTCTCCATGGTCTACGCTTCATCATGTCTCCATGGTCTACACTTCATCATGTCTCCATGGTCTACGCTTCATCATGTCTCCATGGTCTACACTTCATCATGTCTCCATGGTCTACACTTCATCATGTCTCCATGGTCTACACTTCATCATGTCTCCATGGTCTACACTTCATCATGTCTACATGATCTACACTTCATCATGTCTCCATGGTCTACGCTTCATCATGTCTCCATGGTCTACACTTTATCATGTCTCCATGATCTACACTTCATCATGTCTCCATGGTCTACACTTCATCATGTCTCCATGCTCTACACTTCATCATGTCTCCATGGTCTATACTTCATCATGTCTCCATGGTCTACACTTCATCATGTCTCCATGGTCTACACTTCATCATGTCTCCATGGTCTACACTTCATCATGTCTCCATGGTCTATACTTCATCATGTCTCCATGGTCTATACTTCATCATGTCTCCATGGTCTACACTTTATCATGTCTCCATGATCTACACTTCATCATGTCTCCATGGTCTACACTTCATCATGTCTCCATGGTCTACACTTCATCATGTCTCCATGGTCTACGCTTCATCATGTCTCCATGGTCTACACTTCATCATGTCTCCATGGTCTACACTTCATCATGTCTCCATGGTCTACACTTCATCATGTCTCCATGATCTACACTTCATCATGTCTCCATGATCTACACTTCATCATGTCTCCATGGTCTACACTTCATCATGTCTCCATGATCTACACTTCATCATGTCTCCATGGTCTACACTTCATCATGTCTCCATGATCTACACTTCATCATGTTTACATGATCTACACTTCATCATGTTTACATGATCTACACTTCATCATGTCTCCATGATCTACACTTCATCATGTTTACATGATCTACACTTCATCATGTTTCCATGATCTACACTTCATCATGTCTCCATGGTCTACACTTCATCATGTCTCCATGGTCTACACTTCATCATGTCTCCATGGTCTACACTTCATCATGTCTCCATGGTCTACGCTTCATCATGTCTCCATGGTCTACACTTTATCATGTCTCCATGGTTTACACTTCATCATGTCTCCATGGTCTACACTTCATCATGTTTACATGATCTACACTTCATCATGTCTACATGATCTACA